TGTATGGGACTCTCTGTGCTTCCTGGACTTGGGTGGCTGTTTCCTTTCCCGTGTTAGGGACGTTTTTGACTATAATCTCTTCAAATATTATCTTGGGTCCTTTCTCTCTTTCTTCTCCTCTGGGGCCCCTGTAATGCAAATGTTGTTGCATTTAATGTTGTCCCAGAGGTCTCATAGTCTGTCTTCATTTCTTTTCATTCTTTTTTCTTTATTCTCTTCTGCAGCAGTGAATTCTACCATTCTGTCTTCCAGGTTGCTTATCTGTTCTTTTGCCTCAGTTATGCTGCTATTGATTCCTTCTAGTGTATTTTTCATTTCAGTTATTGTATTGTTCATCTCTGTTTGTTTGTTCTTTAACTCTTCTAGGTCTTTGTTCTTTAATTCTTCTAGGTCTTTGTTAAACATTTCTTGCATCTTCTCGATCTTTGCCTCCATTGTTTTTCCGAGGTCCTGGATCATCTTCACTATCATTATTCTGAATTCTTTTTCTGGAAGGTTGCCTGTCTCCACTTCATTTAGTTGTTTTTCTGGGGTTTTATCTTATCCCTTCATCTGGTACAAAGTCCTCTGCCTTTTCATCTTGTCTGTCTTTCTGTGAATGTGGCTTTCCTTCCACTGGGTGCAGAATTTTAGTTCTTCTTGCTTCTGCTCTCTGCCCTCTGGTGAATGAGGCTATCTCCCTTTTTCTTTATCTCTGTGATTCCAATAGCATGGTCAGACTCTTGTCATCTTTCAGCTAGATTTCTGCAGCAATCTTCTCTCTTTCTCCAGTGTATTCCCCCTCTAGTTGGTCTGGCCTGTTGAATATTTTAAAAATCCCATCTAATTTATTGAAATCATTTTTGGTTGAAGGCAGGATGAAATTGGATTAACAGAGTCTATCTCTACCCCGCCCTCATCATCTCTATTAGGGATTGTTGCTAATAATCAAGCCCTTCATTTCTTCACCTTCACCTCAGATGATCCCCACTTCTCCTCAGCTGATGAGGTCATATATTGGACTGTCATTGCTCAAAACTGATTATACCTGAGATCCTAAACAAGATCCCCAGGTGACTGATTGTACATTAAAGTTTGAGGCTCATAATACTGAAAACAAGCAAGAAATAGCCCTCTTTTCAGAAACTGGGTACCAAGTAATAGCTGGGATTTTGCTTCACTTTTCCATACTCATTTCTTGTTCTCCTTGTCCTCAGCTAACTACTGAGATAATGAGAGTTCTTGTCCTGGTGTGATGACTCAAACCTTCAGTCTGAGGCATCTGAGTCATTGGTGGTATAGGATTGCTCTGAGTTTCTGTCACCTTTATTTCAAGGAGGTGCCTCTGTGGGGAGAGTGGAGGAAACCTGCCCAGGGTCCTACAGCCAGTAGATGGGGGTCTGGCATAGACATTATGGTATAGTGGGAAAAGCAAAGGTTTTTTAAATCCTTGCCTTGTTACTTACTTAGATGTGGATATTGGAAAAGTCACTTAACTTCTCTAAGCCTAAGTTTTTTGCTTATAAAGTAAGAAATGAAGATATCTACTTGGGAGGAGTGTTAAACATAACTTCTGGGAGGAGGAGAATTAAACATAAGGTCTTTAGATTATAATTTCTGGCACAGAGTATACTTTTCCTCTTTCCCTTTCTAGCCTTTTGATACAGGGTTTGCTTCCTCAGTTTGAGGATGGCTGTTTTTTACTTGTCACTCTCCCCTCTCTCTCATAAAACTGGAAAAGAGTTCTTATCTACTTCAGTTTATGAAATCCCTACTAGCCTCTTAAAAATATTAATAGCTCTTAGTTCCAGGATGGGAACTGGCAGCCATATCATTTGTGCAGATGAGGATACTGCAGGCCTTAGATCCCCAGGAGGGAGCCAGTCTGTGGAGCTGAGGGATCTGGAGATGGAGTTTTCCACCATGTGATCTTAGTTTTCTTATAGGTGTTATAAAACAGCTCATTGGCAAGGGTTCAAGGGCAGTGAGAACTGAGCAAAAATTGAGTCTCCTCTGAGTCTCTGGAAGAACATGTTGGGTCCCCTGTGATGTGGAAGGTGAACATCTACTGTCTTGTTGCCAGTTCCTAAGTCACAGTGTCCTGCCTTGACTGCATTGGGCCTGGATGACAGGGACAACCTTCTCACTTAATTTGTGCCCTTGTTTAAGTGTTTGTCCTGGCACAAACTGCATATTTCTTCATCTTTAAATAATGCATGGGAACACTAGGTGAATGCGTCACTTTGGAGGCGCCGCAGGCTTCCCTCTGTCCCTGAGGCTCCTTGACAGGCCTCCCCCTGTGGAGTCACATTTGAAAAATTAACATCTTGCAGTGCCCTGCTTTCAAATGAGTGAATTAAAGTAAGGAATAAAGAGGTGGGTTGGAAAAACAGTTTCAGGAAATCACCATTTTACATGAGGGGAAAATGGAAATAGACTAAAATGTTAACAGTGGTGGTTTTTAGAAGGAAGGGCTGTGAGTAAAACATCTTTTCATTATTCCGTGGTTTCTGCATTTTCTAAAATGAGCACACATTACTTTTAAATAGGAAGGAGAAGTTTGAAATTGTCATTTTAAATTACTGATAAGTAGTGAAATCCAGATGAAAAGTAGCCACAATTTATAGTGTGATTAATAAACACAGTGAGTAGATCCCAGTTAGGCCAATATTTTGGGAGTTAACTGGGTTGAAGTGGGGACTATAAAAGAGAAATTTTAGATGCTGGCTGAAATTGGTGATAAAAAGTTCAAGCCATCTCATCCCGTTTTGAAGTGTGACTGATATGAAAATAAAATAAAATAAAAATTCAGTTTCTGGGCATTCAGTAGCTCAATCAAGTTTATAGAATACCTGGGATCTGAGAAAAGAACCACGTCCTATAGGGAGGTTTAATATCGGGCTTGTGCTGTCTAACTGGCACAAATGTTTGGGGTCCTCATGTTGGCATGTGGGGTCCATAGTTTGAGCAGTGGTCCCTGTTGGCACCCTCTGGGTTCTTCAGAGTAATGGTAGAAGAGGTTTTGTTAGTCAGCCTAATGTAGTCATAGTTGAGAGCAGGATTTATTTTGGTGTATTGGTCATTAATAGTTAAGAGTTTGCCTGGAACACATACCCTCTCCATAGCTAACCAAGTCAAAGCCATACATCCTACCTCTGAAGGGAAGAACAGAAGAGTGGATTAATATAATAAAGTAGTATCTTGTGAAGGATTCCCACCAATCAGAAGTAATTGCTCCTCCTTTGAACTCCTCTGGCTCTTCTTCTTACTTTTCATTTTGTAGTTAGCTTTATAGATAGCTGTCGTCTCTACTCTTTAGTAAGCTCCTGGAAGGCAGGGACCTTCTTTAATATCGTCCATAATGCTTTGCACAGTGAGTACTCAATAAATGGTTGTTGAATGTCTGAATTCCCAACTCATGAATTTAGCATTTTTCCTGCAGGGCCGAGGCAGAGGAGATGAAGCCTAGAGCTTTGGAGTCTGGGTGGGAATCACTTGCATGCAGTACCCAGTATCTGCAGCCTCTGCCCATGGCGTCCTGTACAGTGGGATGGAGGCTCTGCCTCTCTATTCCAACTTTCCCTAACTTCTCCCTCTTTGTGTTAGTTATCTATTGCTATGTAATAAATCACTCCAAAACAAAGTTATGTATTATGTCTCATGGTCCTGGGTCAGGAATTGGGGAGCAGGCTTGGCAGGGCAGCTCAGGATCTCTCAGGAGGTTGCAGTCAGATGTCTCCAGGGCTGCAGTCATCTGCAGTCTTGACTGGGGCTGGAGGATCCACTTGCGAGGTGGCTCACTCACATGGCTGGTAGGTTGGTTCTGACAAGTTGGTTCTTTTCCCCAGAGGGCTACTTGAATGTCCTCACTATACGGTGACTGGCTTCCCCCAGAGCTAATGAATCAAGACTACAGTGTCTTAAAACAGAAATTATAATGCCTTTTATATTGTCGCTTCAGAAGTCACATACTGTTGCTTCTGCCATATTCTATTACTTACACAGGCCATCCCTGATGTTTTTGGATGGGAGATTACACATGAGTGCAGGTATCAGGAGTCAAGGACCCTTGGGCTCATTGGAGGCCATGGTGGAGGCTGGCTACCCTACCCTCCATCTACTGCTTTGATTCCCCAGGTAAAGGCTGGTGAGCTTAGCCTTGGTTTATCTGTTTATCCTAGGCTACAGCATTAACCTGCAATTTTTGTTCTCCCTTAATCCACCCTCCAAACTGTTGCTTTCTGAAGTGTAACTGTGAGCAGTGTTGTTCTCTTACTTATGCAAAGTAACTAAAATGGATTCTCCACGAGGGCAAAGACTATTGTATTAAGTATCTTTGCTGCATAAAAATATTCCTGCAACCTTAGTGGTTTAAAACAACACACATTTATCATCTCAGTTTCAGGGGGTTGGGATTCCAGCTGGGTTGACTGGGTCCTCTGCAAGGCTGCAATCAAGGTTCTGGTCAGGGCTGGCTTCTCATCTGAGGCTCGACTGGGGAAGGATCCACTTCCAGGCCCATATGGTTGTTGGCAGCCGTCAGTTCCTTGCAAGTGGTTGGACTGAGCATCCCAGTTTCTTGCTCTTTTGGCTGGAGGCTGTTTCTTACCACATGGCCCTCTCACAACATGCCAACTTGCTTCTTCAAAACCAGCAGGGGAAAGTGTGTCTCTCCACAAGACAGATGTTAAATATTTTTGTAATGTAATCATACACAGATACTCATGTACATTCCATCACTTTTGCCATATTCTAATGGCTAAAAGCAAGCCATGGGTCCCACCCACACTCAATTGGTGGGGTGGGGAATTATGCATGGGTGTGAATGCTAGGAGGTACAGAGATCACGGAGGCCACTTTAGAGTCTGTTTGCCCTAAGCATCTAGTCTAATGTGTCTTCAGCACCCTGAGCCATGCATGACACATACTAAGCTCTAATATTTGAATGAATGGATGTAGTGTGACTGTTATGTTTCCAGCTCCTAGTTTAAGCCTTTTGCTTCACTTCTCTTCTGTTTCAGAGTTACTGATTTATTCTTGAGAATCCTCTACTGTCATCTGTCCTCATGGATGAACTTCAGGATGTTCAACTCACAGAGATCAAACCACTTCTAAATGATAAGGTAAAGACTGCTGTTGTCACTAAAATATATGTAATTCTTTTCTTCTGTGATTAGTTCATTTTCTATATTATCTAAATAGTAACTAACTCAAAACATCTTTAACTTGACTTTCTATGGAGAGAATACTTTAAAAAATATATTGCTTAACCTTCTTCTTGATGTCTTGCCTCCCTTTCTTCCTACTTTTGTTTCCACTGGCCAAATTCAATCAAGTTATCCTTGGAATTTTCTTGTTTTACAGATAGAGATGTTAAGCAGAGAGTGTGAGAGTGGGTTTGACTTGGAATCCAAGTGTCTTGACTTTCGATTTCTATAAGGAAAACTTAACATCCATGGCTGGTGATGTACACAGGCTGCAGTGCTCTCTTTAAAATTTGTCAAGTCTATGGTGTGACCTTTCTGTCTACGTTGAGGTTTTCATCAGGGATGCCTGGATGTTGGTAATACACCTCATTTTTATGTTCGTGTCAGAGAACTACACAATAAGCGTCATAGTTAACAGCCACCAGGATTCAGCAAGTGAAGAGTGCTGTGATGGTGGGAGTTACCAAAAAGCTAAGAAAGGCTTATCCGCTCTCCTCTCCCTCTCCATTCAGTAAATGCGCCTGAAATTCTGTCTTTTCAGCCCTATTCTTTTGGTTTATTGTCATGGTCCCCTATTAAAATACTGTTCTAGCTTGGTGTGGATGAGTCCATGGCATCCTTTCCTGAGGGAAGTATTGTTGGAGAGTAAGGGTAAAGATGGGTGAGGTCAGGATGGGGGCAGGGGCTATACCAGAAGATGCTGTTGCCTGTTATCTCTTTTGCCCAAAGCAAGGCCCTTCACCTACAACTTCTGGGGCCGTTGACTTACTGTGTGTTCGTTAATTTGCTGTTGAAATCTGTCAACCCCATTTTCGTCCCTGTGACCTCATCTCCATCCCCACTCCCACTCCTTCCTTTATCTTTCACCAGATTTCTTGCTCTCTCCCTTGGCAAGCTGCACACTTTTTTAAAACCCCCATTTGGTTTCTTCTGCTGCTTCCCTTCATGTTTTCAGAAAACTCTCTCCTTTAAGCACTGTCTTTTGGTGCATGTGAAGAGCTGTCCCCAAAATGATTTGCTACAAAGAGGAGGAAGGAAATAAAATCTGCATCTGTAAAGCTTATGTATAGCCACAGAAATGAATAGTTACAGGGCAAGTGGGGGTAGGCAGTTTAGCTTCAGGAAGGTAGTAACCTATCCTAAACCTGGCTGATAGTCAGAATCAGCTGGGGAATTGCTTAAAAATACAGATTCCTGGGCCCCACTCTAGAACAACTAAATTGGAATCTGAGGGGAGGGGGACAGGACACACACACTTCTCTATAATCAGTGGTCCTCAACCTTGGCCACTTATTGGAATTACTTGGGGAGATTTAAAAATGACCGATGCCTAAGTCCTACCTCCAGAGGTTCTAATTGAACTGGTCCGGGGTGAACTTTTTTAACAGCTTCCAATATTGAGAACCACGCCTAAAGTGATTGTGATTAGACAGTGTTGGAAACCCATGACCTGATGGATCTCAGACATTTGAGGACTAGGACACAGGATAAGAGGAGGATTCTTCCTTGACCCCGGAAGTCCACAGGATGCCTGAGGCACCTACATGAAGAATTGTGGGAGGGACTTCCCTGGCGGTCCAGTGGTTAAGACTCTGCACTTCCACTGCAGGGGGTGCGGGTTCGATCCCTGGTCGGGGAACTAAGATCCTGCGTGCCGCGTAGCGTGGCCAAAAAAAAAAAAAAGAGTTGCAGGAGTTAATTGACTGGATACCTCGTAGAGAAGGCAGCTGGAAAAGAAAAGATTTGGTGACCATAACCACAGAAAAGCATTGAATTAACATCTGGGTCCTCATCTCTGAGGCCATAGTGATTCCTCAGCTATGTCTGATGTGTGCCCAAGTTCTCTGAACAGAATTGTGTCCCCTCCCCTAAAATTCATATGTTGAAGCCCTAGCTCCCTGTGTGACTTTATTGGAGATAAGGCCTTTAAGGAGGTGACTAAGGTTAAATGAGGTCATATGGTAGAGCCCTAATCCAGTAGAATTGGTGGCCTTATAAGAACAGTGGGGGAGAGGAAAAGAGAGAGATCCACCCTCCACTCCCACTCCTGGCCAGGTGAGGACACATCTGCAAGCCAAGAAGGGAGCTCTCACCAAAAACTGAACCCTGCTGGAACCTTGATCTTGGACTTCCAGCCTCCAGAACTGTGAACAGATAAATTTCTGTTGTTTAAGCCACTCAGGCAGCCTGAGCAGTCTAAGATACCAAGCACTGTCTCACTTCCTCAAATCTGCTAGCTCTTCTTTGATAAGCCTGTGCCCACTTCCCACGCTCTATCTCCCTCCCTCCTCTTCCTGGGAAGTGCTTCTAGCCCATCACTATTCATGAGCACTCCCCTGCTCTAGCCAAGCTTTACTGAAGTAGATTGGCAAGAGGGCCCTCTTTAGATGGTATCATTCCCAAAGAATTCTACCCCATCACACCCCACACTCCCCCACTATATCAGTGCTTCTACCTTTGCCCAATAAGTGGGTGCTTTTGCATTATTTTGAAAGGTATAATGGTGATAATGCTTCTCATCCGTTATTTCATTTGATCCTCCCAAAGGCCTGGCGATGCAGGACACACACATCAATTTATTCGCATGTTGCTGATCAGGAAACTAGGGCTAGGAAAGCTGAATTAGCTTTACTCAGACTGTGTACCTAAGAGCCCCTGCTGTATGGCAGGATTCTCAATCTTGGCACTGTAGGTGTTTGGGGCTAGATAATTATGTATTGTGGGAGACTGTCCTGTGCATTGTAGGGTGTTTAACAGCATCCTTGGCCTCTACCCACTAGATGCCAGTAGTACCCTGGAGTCATGACAACCAAAAATGTCTCCAAATATTGTCAGATGTCTCCTGGCGGGCGGGGGGCAGAATCTCCCCATTTGAGAACCACTGCTATTAGAGTATAAGCCTCCAGGTTTGAATAGGAGATGTCTTGAAATTTTTGGGGGAAGTTTTATTTTGCCTGATAGCCTATCCTGCTGTTATTTATTAAGCACTTTTTATGTGCCAGGTGCTTTACATACCTTCTCTCTTTTAATCATCAGAATATCCCTTTGAAGTAGGTAGTATTCCTCACTTAGCAGATGAAAATCTGACTGAAAGATGGGCTTGCCCCGTCAGTAAGTGGCCAAGCCAGGACTGAAACCCAAATCTTTCCTACTCCACAACCTGAGGCCTTTCCACTGTGTTCACACTAGACATTTTGGCATCACCTCTGAGGCTTGCCCTCTCTCTTTAAGGAGAAGCCTAGAGGCACGTATTATTTCACTTCATCTTTCTGTGCGTTCTCCTCATAGACACTCTTAGCCAGAGACATTGCTGTGCCCTTCCAGGCTTCAGGGAGGGAAAGGAAGTCTAGACCCAACCTGTAATGCAGAAATTTGTCCTGAGCTGACTATAAGGAAGCATTCTCAAAATAGCTTTAAGCGAGGCTTCTGTTAACTTTTCTCTTGTTGTTTGTTGGTACTTTTCCCATTTACTTTTAGTATGCCTGTGATTTTGTCGACGGCTCAGAATGGTGAAGAAGTGGGTCATCTTGCCATGCTTGTCTTGGCTCCAGTGATGAAAAGAGGCACCTGCCAGCCCTTCTGTTTGTTATTTTGGAGGCAGATATCGCACAGGAATGTGAAATGATTTTTAAAAAAATAACATCTAACCATTTTCAGAGCACTTTCACAAATACGATCTAATTTGAATCTCCTGACCTCTTGTGAAGTAGGTAGTTAAAGGTATTTTTAGCTGCATTTTACAGATGAGGCTCAGAGAGGTTATATGACTTGTCTAACGTTGGTGTCTAGTGAGGTGGTGAAGCCGGGACTAGACCCCACAGCTGTTGACTTCAGCCTGGATCAGGGGGTCTAGGGCTCTTCCCACCATATGCTGCCTCTTGTAGCTGGTTGTTCCAACCTCTTCACCCAACAGACCTTGTACAAGCAGGAGAGCTGGCTGGTTTGTGCTTCATTTTCCCTGCCCTCCTCTACCTAATGTTAGTTCAGATACTGCCGAGCCTGTGAAAGCTGAAGACCAGGCTTGAGAAAATAAATAGTAGAACACAGTTGGCTTCAGCAAAATTGAGGACCTATCAAGAAGGGGAATAAATACTTAGTGGGGGGAACAGAAACAAGTTATTTGCTTTGGTTGTTACAGTAGAAAGTGAGGTAAACCCTAAGGGAGGATATTATAAGAGGAAGCAGGGAGAACCCAGGGATGAGCATTTTTGTAACCTGCAGGACAACAGAGACAGGCCAAAGGATTTATGCCAACGTCTCTTTTAAAAAAACAACACAGGGCCTCCCTGGTAGCGCAGTGATTAAGAATCTGCCTGCCAGTGCAGGGGACACGGGTTCGAGCCCTGGTCCGGGAAGATCCCGCATGCTGTGGAGCAGCTAAGCCTGTGTGCCACAACTGCTGAGCCTGTGCTCTAGAGCCCGCAAGCCACAACTACTGAGCCCACATGCCGCAACTACTGAAGCCCGCGCGCCTAAAGCCTGTGCTCCACAAAAAGAGAAGCCAGTGCAATGAGAAGCCCTTGCACTGCAACGAAGAGTAGCCCCAGCTCGCCGCAACTAGAGAAAGCTGCGCACAGCAACGAAGAACTAAGGCTGCCAAAAATAAATAAGTTAAATAAATAAATTAAAAACAAAAACAAAAACCCCCCACAGATTTACTGACATTTTCATTAAAGAGTATTTGTGAAGTGCAGCATTGCTTGCACAACCCCCCATCTTTCTTTCTACAATAATCCAAAAAGGATTATTGTCCTTTTTTAGTAGAAATGCCATATTTTATTCTCTTTGACTGTTTTTAATCAGCTTGTTTCTAAAACTTTTACTGTTGTAACAACTCCTCCTCCCTTTAGTTCCGAGCTCATCAATTGTAGGTAACGCTTCCTCTTTGGTATTCATTTCTTACTCAGATTATCTCT